CCAAGCAATGCTCAGGGAGTCTGGGGCCCCTCCCAGGAATCCTAGATCAGCAGAGTGGGAATTTCAATGCAAGGACTCTAGGATGGGGCCCTGCTTGGGAACTGGGAACTACTGCAGGAGTCCAGCAATGCTGGGGTCCCCAGGGCCATACCCAACAATGCTTGGGGGCCTCAGGGCTGTGCCCAGGGAACCTCAGAGTATTGGATTTCAAGGTAGTGTCCACTGGGATGCAAGGCATGTGTTTATTCATTCTACTCTCTCTCCACCCCCAGAAAGCATTTTGTAAGGATACAAGGGGTCTGAAACTCTTCCATGTCTCCATTTTTAAAAAGAAAGAAAGAAATAAAAAAGGGTGTTTCTGGATAAATAGGATGAGGGCTTGAGGTCATCACTTATGATGCTATTTCTATGCACTTATCAGCGGTCACAGGTCTTAGCTCTATTGGTCTCCCTTGAGGCAAAAGGCAAGAAGAAAGGGGATGTGTACCTAGATGAAAACCAAACGTCAGAGAACTATACTTTTTGTGCAGTCAAGCCTGCCCACGTCAGACCAGCTTCACTTCCCAAGAGAACCATCTGGAGAATCCTGGGAGTGCAGTGTAGTGGCTTCTTCTTGGTTGGTATTTGGCAATGCCAGTCAGCAACTGCTGTTTGGCAGGGGCAGCATAAGTTTTGCATGCTCCCAAAGGGCTGCAGGAGGTAACTCCAGGGGGCACTAGCTTTTTTTTTCCCTTTTTGGGTCACACTCGGTGATGCACAGGCATTACTCATGGCTCATACACTCAGGAATTACTCCTGGTGGTGCTTGGGGGACCATATGGGATGCTGGGATCAAACCCGGGTCAGCTGTGTGCAAAGCAAATGTGCTGTGCTATTGCTCCAGCCCCGGCACTGGCTTTTTAAACACATACAGAGCAGTTAGAAGGATTTAAGAACCATACAAGGCAGCAGAATATGCAGACTAAACTTGTTCTTTTGTTTTGGAAGTATCTGGTAGCACTCAAGAGTTACCCACAGTGCATTGCTCAGGTGTTGTGGCTGAGATGGGGGTTATGCAGTGCCAGGGATTAATTTGGGCCTTCTGCATGTCAACCAGTCCTCCAGGCAAATCCTTCCCACCCCAAGCCTAGCTTGGTTGGTTTTGGAGCCACACCCAGCAGTGCTCAGAGTTTATTCTAGCTCTGTGCTCAGGGATCACTCCTGGCGCGAGTCAAGGGAACATATCGGGTGCTGGGGATCAAACTTGGTTGGCTACATGCAAGGCAAGCATCTTATTTACTGTATTAACCCCCAAGACTAAGCATTTTTGTATGAGGTAGAATCATTCTGATTTTCCCATTCTGGACAATGCTTCAGGGAAATTCAGGGAAATGCTTCAGGGAAATTTATTCTCTGACACAAGGTAAAAATGGCTCATCTTCAACAGTGAGGAATGAACCCGGGAGACAGTATCAAGGGCTGGAGTACATGCTTTGCAGCCAAAGCTCTGAGTTTGATACCCAGTATCACACAGTCCCTGCTGAACCCTAAGCACTGCTGGGTATGGACCCCAAAAGTAGAAAAAGTGCCAGTGAGTCATGCACACCAGTGCAAAGAGTCTGCAATGATAATTTTGTTTGCTTGATTAGTTGTTTTTTAGGTCACACTGGCAGTACTCAAGGTTCACTCCTGGTTCTACACTCTTCCTAGCAAAGTACAGGGAAACATATGAGGTACCAGGTATCAAACCCATGCAAGTACCCCACTAGCTGTGCTACTTACTCTCCGGTCCCCAAAGTACTAATTTTATTTTGGCTTTGGGACCTCACCTATTGCAGAGGGAAATATTTGTTAAAGCAAACTTTTTCAAAAGATATAATTTCAAAACAGTAAAAAAAATCTTCAAATTATTTTGGTGATGTTAAAGGGAATAATTAATTTGGTAAATTCTCATTTTGTTAGAGATACTGGAAATTTTTTTGACTCAAATTCACCTGCAAACATCTCTTTGCTAATTGATTTTTGATAAATAGATTTGACAAACTGGCTATTCAGCAAAAATTGCCTTGAAAGGACTGGAGAGAGAGTACAACAGGTAGGGTGCTTGCTTCAAATGGGGCCCACTCAACTTCAATCCCCAGCACCCAGATGGTTTCCTGAGCCCCTCGAGGGGTGATCCCTGAATACAGATTGAGAAGCAAGCACTGAGCACCGCTGGGTGTGGCCCGGAAAAAAATTGTCTCTGGAGGCTGGGAGGCCGTCAGTGTTAATAACTTCCTGGGTTCAAGGGTTGTTCCCTGTTTTTTCTGGAATTCTGAGGGAACCTGGTTAAACAAGCTCCATCTCCGCGGTCTGTGGGACAGTTCTTCAAGTCTTTTTGGAGAGCCTGGTTTTGCCCTTCCTTCTCTAACCACAGCTGTACTTGGTTCGACATCAACCAGCCAGTGCATACGACCATCTTTTGGGATTGTGGGGACAGGCACAGGCTAAGAGGAAGTGAAAAGTTCTAAACATCAAGGAAGGATGCTCACCCACACCCTACAGTGGGCCCTGTGCACAAAGTTCCACCTGAACACACCCTCCTCTGCCCCACCTGGACAAATCAGCTTATCCACATGGACACGCCCTTTTCTGTCCTCGCCCTCCTCTGTCCCACCTGGCCCTCTCTCCGTTTCACCCGCACACACTTCCCTATGCCAGGGGACAAATGCCTCCTCCAGGTTCCACATCGTGGAACCAGCAGGAGAACGTCAGAAGGTCACCGGAAACATAGAGGGGGACTGCCGGGTCTGCAGTCCTAGAGATCTCCACCCCTGGCAGCGAGTGGATGAGAAGCGCGAGAGAGGGTACGGGTTGAGCCGCAGTTGAACGACTACCACAGAGACCTGGGTCTTCCTGGATTGCTAGAACGGCCCGCCTCCCCCCACTTCCGGTCACACCCCCGCACTCCCAAAGCCTCGCCCACCAGGCACCTGCGGCGGATGGTGGGCGTCTCCTTGAGAACTCGAACGGGCCGGGGCGAGGTCGGCGGGGCACAGCCGGCCCTTTTGGTCAGACCACCCGGGCAAGGGGCCCAGGGAGGGTGAGACCCCTCACTCTGGCAACATCCTCGTCCCTCTCGGCTTCCTTTGCCTCATCTTTCCCGCATTTCTACCGCCAAAACTCAGCCGCGGCGGTCATCTGGTCTTGGGGCTCCCCAAGCACTTCCTGCAGCCTCTCGCCTCCTAGCCACTGTCGTCTCACCAGACTTCTTTCAGCAAGCCGTGCCCCCTCCCCACGCTGTCCCTGAGGTCCCAGCATGGGCCTGAGGGTTTCCACAGAAGAAACGCAGCCCTCCTCGGGCCGGAGGCGGGTCCGGCACAGAGGGGCGTGTCCTGCATGGGGCGGGGGCGGGCCCAGCGCGAGGCGAAGGCGGGCCCAGCTCGAGGGGCGTGTCCTGCATGGGGCGGGGGCAGACCCTGAGCGAAGAGGTGGGCCTAGTGTGAAGAAGGCCGGCCGTTGTCCTAAGTGGAGCGCCTTGCTCCCAGAAGAAGCTGGCCCAATGCTGATTGGGACGACCCTGCGCGGAGGGGCGCAGGGCGGTGTCTGGTTTATACCACGGGAGCGTCAATATGAAAGGTGACAGACAGCAGGATCCAAAACAACAGTGAACAGGTAGGGGGCGTTTGACTTGAAGGCGGTGCACCTAGGTTCCATCCGGGGCATCTAATTGATCCCCCGAGCACCACCAAGAGTATTTCAGAGGACATAATGCCCTCTGCCCTTTCACACACTCCGTTTCCCAGGTGCTCCGTGGACAGGCACTGTGAAGGCAGAACAAGCCAACCTACTTCCTGCTCGTCTGTCAAATTCATTGATTGGCCATGAAGCAGGCACTGCAGGCAAAGAGACATTGCAGTGGAGCAGGCGCTTGCCTTGCACTCAGCCGACCGGAGTTCAATCCCCAGCACCCCAGAGGGTCCCCCAAGCCCCTCCAGGATTCATCCGTCCGTGAGCGTAGAGTCAGGAGTAAGTCCTGAGCATCAGTGGGTGTGGCCCCCAAACAAAGATATCCTCACTGAAAATACATGCATTTCCTCATAAGCTAAGTATGCTCTTGTTTTTCTCATCATTTTCATTTCTACCTAAAATTAATCAGAATCCGTTAATCGAAGACTTGACCTGGAGGTCATAGCAACTCCACATACGTGACAGGCAAAGCCTGCCAATATCTGAAAATAAACTAGTTTGTTCACTCATGGAGTCACTTTGAGGCACATTCGTGAAAGCCGAGTGCCATGACCCAAAGCATCAGTACTGTAAACGAAGCCCGGGGTCTGCGAGGAAGGAGGAACTGGCCAGGCGCTCCCCTGGACGGCGGGCACCAACAGTCTTCCTGGGGGAGACAACCAGAGACAGGCACGTCGGGCAGCTGCGCCGGGACCTTCCCCGCGCTGGGTCACTTCTCCCCACTGCACCTGTCTCGCAACTCAGACCCGGGTCCACTGGGGAGCAAGCCTGCTTCAGCCAGCCAGCCTTGGCCGCCGCCCCCGCCCCGCCTCGGCTCCACCCCATCCCACCCCTCACAGGCCCCGCCCCTTGCAGAGCTGCCATTGGCCCCCTGCTCGCTTCCGGACTCTCGCTCACTTCCGCCACCGCCGCCGCCGAGGTCCGCCGCTCTCCAGCCCGCGAGTCAGGCTGCGCTGCAGGTACGGGGACTCGGCGCGCGGCGGGCCCGGGCTCAGAGGGCAGTGGCGGGCGGCAGCCGGCGGCGCGGCCTGCGCGGGAAAAGGGCGCAGGCGCCCGAGCTCCCGCCCGCGACGCGCGGCTGAGGCCCCCGGTTGGGTCGTCGTGGCTCGAGAGCAGCGGCGTAAGGGTCCCTTCCCGCCGGGTCCCCTCCCCTTGGCTCTGTTGACCTCGATCTCGGAGACGTTTCCTGCGCTCGCCGCCCGCCCCCGTCTTTGGTCGACGAGATGGGGTCCGTGGTGTGACCCCGCCCGCCCGCCCGCGGCGCTCACTCGGCCTCCCGCTCTCCCCCGCAGGTGGACCCCGGAGGAGGCGCAGCATGTCGGCCGTGGGCGCGGCCGCGCCGTACCTGGCGCACCCGGGCGAGGCGCACGGCGGCAGGGTGAGTTTCCTGGGGGCGCAGCTCCCTCCGGAGGTGGCCGCCCTGGCCCAGCTTCTGGGGGACCTGGACAGGGCCACCTTCCGGAAGTTGCTGAAGCTGGTGGTCAGCGGCCTGCTGGGAGAGGACTGCCGAGAGGCTGTCCAGCACCTGGCGGCCACCGGTGACCTGGAGCAGAAGCGCCTGAGAGCCCTGCTGGCGGGCACACACACTCTGCTCCAGCAGGCCCTGCGGCTTCCCCCCACCAGCCTGAAGCCCGAGGCCTTCAGGGAGCAACTGAAGGAGCTCAGCATCCCCCAAGACATGGCCACGGACTTGGCCAGTGTGGTGTTTGGGAGCCAGCGGCCCCTCCTCGACTCCTTGGCCCAGCAGCGGGGCTCTGGGCTGCCCCATGTTGTTGGCCTTCGGTGGCGGGTGGATGTGGCCATCTCCACCAGCGCCCTGGCTCGCTCCCTGCAGCCCAGTGTCCTGATGCAGCTGCAGCTGTCAGATGGGTCAGCACATCGCTTTGAGGTCTCCACGGCCAAATTCCAGGAGCTACGGTACAGCGTGGCCCTGGTCCTGAAGGAGATGGCCGATCTGGAAAGGAAGTGTGAGCGCAGACTGCAGGACTGACCTAGGCCCAGCCTCAACCCGGCTACCTGATGGCAGCGTGGCGCACCTGTCCATCTCCCTGTTTATAGCTGTTTCCCCTCAATTTTGGAAGTAAAGACACCCTTGAAAATGTTCTTTCCTAGATGGCCTCAAGCCACACTTTCCTGGCTCTGGGTTTGGTTGCTGGGTGAGGGTCCTGCTGTGTGGAACAGCCTGGGCCAAGTGGACATGTGGAGGCTGTTGAGTGGCCATAGGTGGCACCTGAATGCTCTGCTCCTTAACATTCATGACCCCAGCATCCTATCTGTCACCTTGGGGAGCAGCATTCAGGTGTGGAAGGGAGATGGATGCAGTGAATCCCTCCTGTGGCCTGTGAGTGGTGCTGGGGCACAGGATGGGGTTTTTGAGATTTGTGCTGTCCTTTTGGATTAGGTATGGGGTGGGGCTTTCTTGAGGAAGTGAGTTCCGAGCACATGTGCAGAGGAGGCAAGAGAGCAGTGACAGTCCTAGGGATTGGGGACCCAGGGCCACGTGGCTGCTGAGCAGCCCAGCAAAGAGTTGAGTGGAGGGTTTAATGACCTCCCCCCACCCATGCATACTCCAGGAGGCCGAGTCAGAGAAGTGATGACCAAAATCAGCATGGTCCAGTGGATCATAAATGACTCACTGACCAGAGCCTCCAGACTTCCAGAGGACCACTTGGGAGGGCCCCAAAAGGCTGGAGTTCATACGTGGCATGCCCAGAGCCTAGCATCTCAGGACACCTGGGCACTGCCAAGTATGGCCCTAGTGGTCCCCTGCACAGAGGCCCTAAAAAGGCCTTTAAAAGGAGGTACGGCATACCCCTAAAAACGAAAGGGAACACACTGGATGTGGTGTAGAGCAGCTGGGAGTCTGGTAGAGAGGCTGCTGCCGGGGTGGATGTTGGGGCTGCTCCCTAAGGGTGCATCCTCTGGCATTACTGCACCCCAGGTAGGTGTCTCAGGGTTCTGCTCCATGCCCAGGCCTTACAGGAGTAGTTAGGCCTGAGCAGCATCCAGGGGACAGCCTCCACCCCCGACTCCGCCACCCACCAAGGCCCTCCTACCCTCTGCTTTGTGCTACGCCCAGCGGGAGCTGCAGTCCACTTGGAGCCACTTCAGAGACGGCCTGGCCCTCTGGGAAAGGATCCTGGAAACCTGGGTTCGAGCCAAGGGCAAGGATGCTGGGTGAGGGGCTGGAGCAATAGTACAGCGGGTAGGGCATTTCCCTTGCATGCGGCCGATCTGGGTTTGATTCCCAGCATCCCATATGGTCCCCTGAGCATCGCCAGGAGTAATTCCTGAGTGCAGAGCCAGGAGTAACCCCTGTGCATCACTGGTTGTGACCAAAAAGAAAGAAAAAAAAAAAAAAGAAAGAAAAAGATGCTGGGTGGAAGGGTCTGATGCAGGGGATGGGGATTCAGATATTGGACACAGTGTGCCACCTCACAGCCTCAGCTGGCGTGCTCATGCCTGGCCTCCCTGAGGATGGGCTGGGTCTTCTAAGCTGCCTCTGCTGCCCCAGAAGACCATGTACAGACCTTGAGACCATGTGTGCCTTGTCCTAATAGGCTTCTTGTCTGTGCCATGAGGCATGTTTAAGGAAAGTGTACACTTGGGCTGGAACGATAGCACAGCGGGTAGGGCATTTGCCTTGCACGCAGCTGACCTGGGTTCAGTCTTCAGCAGCATCACATATGGTTCCCCTGAGCACTGCCAGGAATAATTCCTGTGTGCAGAGCCAGGAAGAACCTCCGAGCATCGCTGGGTGTGACCCAAAATGCAAAAAAAAAAAAAAAAAAAAAAAAAAAAAAAAAGAAAATTGTACTCGGGACCTTCAGAATGTCCATTTCTGGGGTTGCAGCAATAGTACAGCAGGGAGGATGCTTGCCTTGCACATGGCAGCCTGGGTTCAATCTCTCATATCCCATATGGTCCCACAAGCCCACCAAGAGCAGAGCCAGGAGTAACCCGAGCACTGCTGAGTGTGATCCATACCCCACCCTTGCCAACAAAACAACCTGTCCATTTCTTTGCTCAGAGACCATGTAAACCACCCTGGTATCTTACAGGCTCCCTCAGCTGTGTCCTGGGGCAGGGGTGTTGTGCTAACAGGGTAGAAAGCAATGGCCAGCTGCCTGCCTTTGGGAGGGGGTGCTCCTCATGAGAATCGCAGCCATGCCCTGGGTGGGTGGCTGTGCTGACAGGGTAGAAGTCATTGGCAGTTGGGTAGGGCCCTTCTCCAAGTGCACACTCACCTGCCAAGGCCCACGTCAGACTGTCCTACAGGCAGTGGGAATGAGCAAGGATCAGACACTCCCCTGGATGGTCACAACATAGCAGCTCTTGGGACTGTCTCTGCTTCGCACTGTTAAAGAGTCCACAGTTCTGTCAGTGGGAAAAGCATTTCATGTGTGAACACTCTCTAGGAGGAACAGAGAAAGGAGAATCCAAGGGTGGGACTCACAGCCTTACCCATGGGAAACACACGCTTCTTCCTAGGCTGCATATCTCGTTCGAATGTGTACTTCAACACTTAGCATCCAAATCGACCCAAATCTGGGTCCCTCATCTCAGGCACCCTAAAGGTCAGACCATGTGCACAGGACCAGGGCTGCTGCCGCCAGCACATCCAGCACTGTCCCAGTGAACCTTCATGACCTGAAGCTTGCCGGTGTCATACCACCTGTGGTGGTGGTGGATGGGGCACACATGATCTTGTCTTGTGACCCGGTAGGAGGGCAGGAGGTTGCTGTAAGGGCCTAGAGCAGCTGCTGGTCCTAGATGAAGGACACACAGGTGGGGTTGAAGGCCCTAGGATGGGGCTTCTGTTGTGCAGGGTCATGGCAGCAATGTCTCAGCACCTACAAGCACCACAGCCTGGCCTGGTGGCTGGGACACCCTGCTTCCAAGGCACATACCTCTGACAGGCCACCTACTGTTGCCATCTTCAGGGGACCAGCATAGCCGGAGCACAGGATCCTGGGGAGGACAGAGCAGTACTTGGGAACTACACATGGGCCCTGGGCAGTTCTTGAGGGCAGGTGACTTCACAAGGCATTCTGGCTAGCCGGCTGGACAGTGAACACACATGCCTCTGCACAGCACCAGGTACTTCCACAGACTTCTCGGTTTGGCCTCCGTCCCAGTCCAGTGTGCACTACTGGCACTTGGCTGGCTGTTCTACACTGGGCCCTTCTCAAGGCATCAGCAGGAAACATCTGCAGACAAGGTGTGCCTGCCCTGCCAGCTACCAACCTGTGTGGGGGCTGCGGGGAGCTTGAGCCCCACTGCAGTCAAGGGAGTGAGACATACCAGCATATCCATGCCTGTGACACACCTCTCCCCAGGGAGTGGCCAGAAGGGTCACAGGCTGCCACTTGTGTAGGAAAGCAGCTTTAGGAACTCCAGTGTGACGACTTGGCCTCTGGGGTGCCCCAGGGCGAACCCTACTGGAAACAACACAGGCATTCTCATGTCATTTAATTCTAACTACCCACAATCACCAGATAAACCAGCAGGTCCTAGATTTCAGGGTACAGGTGACATCCCAGTGTCCTGCAGCATCCTGGAGTCTGGGCCTTGTTCCCAAGTCCCTGACAGCAGCCACAACAGCTGGGCACCCCCATATTCCTGGGACACTCTAATGTGGGATATGGCTGGACAGGAACTGAGCCACGACTCTGGGCTCAACATGGTTCACATGAGTTCCTGGCGCCTGAGAACTGTGCTGGGTAACAGCTTACTCATGTGGCAGAGTGCAGAGCTCGTAACTTGTCCTCATCCAGGGCCTGCGAGGGGTCTCGCCACCATGAGCTAGGAATGCTGCATGTGAGTTGGCAGAAGTACGGCTTTATGGAATGGGAAAAAGACTGAATCAACCTCATCTTTCTTAAGAGAGCAATTCTGAATCTTCCCCAATCTCATTTCACACCAGTGTGAATGATCCTGTGTGAGTCAAGTTAAGGCTGTAGGTTTCTTTACACTAATGCACATTTATAAGGGAAAATGACTTATCCCATGTGAATTTTCTGATGCTGAGTGAGCCTTGAGCTGCGATTGAAAGCTTTGCCACACTCGTTGCACTTATAAGGCTTTTCTCCAGTATGTATTCTCTGATGTATAACAAGGTGAGAACGCCATCGGAATATCTTCTCACATTCATCACATTTATGCAGTTTCTTTACAGTGCTAGCTCTCTTCCGGCTCACATGCATGGGGCCATCCAGGGTGTTTCCATACTCGTGACACCACTGTGCTCTTGTGTGGATCCTCTGGTGCTCGATGAGATAGGAGCTGCGACTGAAGGCCTTGCCGCACTCGCTACAGCCATAGGGCTTCACTCCAGCATGGATGATCTGGTGCTGGAACAGGGTGGAGTTCTGACTGAAGGCTTTCCCACACTCGCTGCACTTGTAGGGCCTCTCTCCCGTGTGGACCCTCTGGTGGATGGTGAGCTGTGTGCTCATGCTGAAGGCTTTCCCACATTCCACACACTCATAGGGCTTCTCCCCCTTATGAATTCTCTGGTGGTAGATGAGGCTTGAGCTCTGGCTGAAAGCTTTCCCACAGTCACTGCACTCATAGGGCTTCTCTCCAGTGTGAATTCTCTGATGCTGAATTAGGTGTGAGCCCTGGACAAAGCCTTTACCACACTCATCACATTTAAACGGTTTTTCTCCCGTGTGGGTTCTCTGGTGGCGGATCAGGCGTGAGCTACAACCAAATGCCTTTGCACACTTGTTGCACTTATAGGGCTTCTCTCCTGTGTGGGTCAGCTGGTGCTGGCTGAGGCGAGAGACCCACCGAAAAGCCTTCCCACAGGCATCACACTTGAATGGCTTCTCTACAGTGTGGACCCTCTGATGGGCGACAAGGCTGGGGCCTTCTGGTGTTCTGAGAACATGTGCCTTCTCCCCCGCATGCATGCGCTGGTGCTGAGCAAGTGTGGAACTCTGGCTGAAGGCTTTCCCACACTCCTTGCAGGGGTAGGGCCGCTCCCCAGTGTGTGTTCTCTGGTGCCTGACAAGCTGTGACTGCTGGCTAAAGGCCTTCCCACACTCGCGACAACTGTAGGGCCGCTCTCCCGTGTGTACCCGCTGGTGGTGGATAAGACTGGAACTCTGCCCAAAGGCTTTCCCACACTCCTCGCACCTATACGGCTTCTCTCCTGTGTGGATTCTTTGATGCTGGATCAACTTTGAACTCAGGCGAAAGGCCTTGCCACACTCAATGCATTTGAATGGCTTCTCCCCAGTATGGATTCTCTGGTGCTGGTTCAGCTGGGAACAGAGCCTGAAGACTTTCCCACACTCCTCACACACATAGGGCTTCTCTCCACGGCAGTGGCTCTGGAGTACACCCTGGCAGCAGTGCAACGGTCTCTGGCACTCCTGACATTGGCCCTGTTTCCTTTGTGTGTTACTGCCCTGATGCACCACAGTGCCTGCAGCACACCTCACACTTCTGCCACACGCATCACATTTTGGAGTGGCTCCTTCTGCTTGCTCTCCCTCACTTTCATCAGGCTGAGCCAGCTCCTCAGGTCCCTGGGTTTCCTCCTTGGTGAAGGTCTTGCAGAGAGCCGCAGTGCCTGTGTTCCCCTGGTCATTCTGGAGGAGGGGGTGCACCCTTTGCCTGGGACTGCTCAGCAGGCCCTCTAATTGAACCTCAGAATCACAGGTGTCTCCAAAACCAGGGCTCTGTGGGAAACCTTGTGCCGGGGTTCTGATCCCCACCACCTGGGACTCTGATCTGAGACTGCCCCTGTCCTCTGAGGCCAGCTCACCATAAGTTTCAACTGCATAACCTGAAATCAAGAGGAAATAAAAAGCAGGGCTGGAGTGACAGTGGCTGGAGCGATAGCACAGGGGTAGGGCGTTTGCCTTGCACGCAGCCAATATGGCCGACCCAAGTTTGATTCCTCCACCCCTCTTGGAGAGCCCAACAAGCTACCCAGAGTATCTCACCCGCATGGCAGAGTGTGGCAAGCTACCTGTGACGTATTCAATATGCCAAACACAGTAACAACAAGTCTCACAATGAAGATGTTACTGGGCCCGCTCGAGCAAATCGATGAACAATGGGAGGACTGTGACCGTGACCATGGAGTGACAGTACAGCGGGACAGGCATTTGCCTTGCATGTGGCTGACTACGGTTCCCTGGGCACCACTGGGGAACCAGGAGAAGCCCTGAGCACTTCCCAGTGTGGCCCTAAAACAAAACAAAAACCAGAAAGAAATAAAATACTCCTTTTTTATCCTCTATGATAAATGGGCTAGACCGGGTCAGGGTGCTGATCGTCCTTAAGAATGAATAGCCTTAGAGCTGCAGACCAATGGAACAGGATTGAACACACTGATATCTCCCCTCAATCATATGATCATCTAATCTTTGATAAAGGTGCAAAAAATGTGAAGTGGAGTAAGGAAAGCCTCTTTAACAAATTGTGCTGGCAAAACTGGCCGGCTACATGCAAAAAAATGGGCTCAGAACTCTGCCTAACACCATGTACAAAAGTAAGATCAAAATGGATTAAAGACCTCAACATCAGACCGGAAACTATAAGGTACATTGAAGACAAAGTTGGCAAAACCCTCCATGACATTGAAGCTAATGGTATCTTCAAAGATATCATGCCACTGGCCGAGGAAGTGAAAACAGAGATCGATAAATGGGACTATCTTTTTTTTTTCTGCTTTTTTTTGGGTCACACCTGGCGATGCACAGGGGTTACTCCTGGCTCTGCACTCAGGAGTTACCCCTGGTGGTGCTCAGGGGACCATATGGGATGCTGAGAATCGAACCTGGGTAGGCTGCATGCAAGGCAAATGCCCTACCTGCTGTGCTATCTCTCCAGCCCCAAATGGGACTATCTTAAACTAAGAAGCTTCTGCACCTCAAAAGAAACAGTGACCAAACTACAAAGACAGTCTACAGAATGGGAAAGGATATTAGCCAAACACACATCTGACAAGGGGTTGATATCAAGGATATATAAAGTACTGGTTGAACTCCACAAGAAGAAAACATCCAAAAAAATAACATCCAATAAAAAAATGGGGCAATGAAATGAACAGAAACTTTCTCAAGAAATCTGAATGGCAAAAAAGCACATGAGAAAATGCTCTACATCATTAATCATCAGGGAGCTGCAGATCAAAACCACAATGAGATACCATCTCACACCTCAGAGACTGGACCACATCCAAAAGAACAAAAGCAACCGATGCCGGCGCGGATGTGGCGAGAAAGGGACACTCCTTCACTGTTGGTGGGAATGCCGACTGGTTCGGCCCTTTTGGAAAACAGTATGGACGATTCTCAAAAAATTAGAAATTGACCCAGCAATACCACTCCTGGGAATATATCCCAGAGAGGCAAAAATGTATAGTAGAAGTGACATCTGCACTTGTTTGTTCATTGCAGCACTCTTTACAATAGCCAGAATCTGGAAAAAACCTGAGTGTGCAAGAACAGATGACTGGTTAAAGAAACTTTGCTACATCTACACAATGGAGTACTATGTAGCTGTTAGAAAAGATGAAGTCATCAAATTTACATACAAGTGGTACTACATGAAAAGTATCATGCTAAGCGAAATGAGTCAGAAAGAGAGGGATAGACATAAAAAGATTGCATTCATCTGGGGGACATAAAGTAACAAAATAGGAGATTAATACCCAAGAATAGCCAAGATCAGTACCAGGAGGCTTAGAGGCCTCCATGACTTAGAGGCCAGCCGGGCATTCTAGGGGAAAGGGCAGCTCAGATAGAGAACGGAGCACCAAATAAAGGGTGTTTGGAGGATCCTCCCAGGATGGGAGATGCATGTTGAAAGTAGACTATGGACCAAACATGATTGCCACTCAATGCCTCTTTTGCAGACTACAACACCCAAAAAGAGAGAACAAAAGGAAATGCCCTGCCACAGAGGCAGGGTGGGATGGGGGGGATGGGGGTGGGAGGGATACTGGGATCCATGGTGGTGGAAAATGGGCACTGGTGGAGGGATGGGTATTTGATCATTGTATAATCGAAACCCAAGCACAAAAATTTGTAAGTCTACAACTGTACCTCATGGTGTTTCACTAATAAAAATTAATTTAAAAAAATGAATAGCCTTAAGATATACCACGGGATGTTCACTTGGACAGTTCTCAGATTTCCTTTGTGGGCTGGAGAGACAGTACAACAGGGAAGACGCTAGCCTCACAAGTGGCCGACCTGGGTTTGATCCCCAGCCTCACATAAGGTCAGTATACTGAACACAGCCAGGTGTGAACCAAAACCAAAGATTTCCTTTGTATTTTTACTCTGAATACTACTCGAGGTCAATGTTCTAAGCAGAACTTAAGACCACCCTCCAATAAGCGGGCACATGTGCAGTGGCTTGTGCCACAGACACCAAGAAACCCACTAGAGAGTGCTGAGCAGGGCAAGGCGTCTGGGACCTTCATTCCCAAAGAAACAGGCTTTGGCGATCATTGGCCCAGGAATGCATGTGGGATAGGTAGAGTGGCAGTGAGGTGGAGACTCACATGAGGTGCACAGGCATGGTGAGAGAGGACCCTCACTAGGCCGGGGTCCTGGGTAGTGGGGCAAGATCAAGTCGTCTTTTTTTTTTTCAGATGCACCAGGTGACTCCTGCAAAAGGTGCCACCATACTCCTAGTAGGCCCTTAGCTGCATTTGGGTGGCCACAGCCACTGGCCCCAGCACACCTGCTATTCTACGGAGTCCAAATGAAGGTCAGCCTCTTTCCTATGGTGCAACCCGATAGAGCACATTTACTAGAGTCAGACATGGCCCTGGTGACCATCAGCACATGCAGCTCCTCACCAGCCCAATTCTTCCCCACTGTGAGGCCCAGGCCCAAGGTTTCTGCCAGCTTCTGCTCCTCAAGACAGTGGTCTACACATTAGTCCTGGGAATGGCAGGGTCCCAGGCACACAGCGTCTTCTGTGCATAAGGAACTGCTGTTTTTCAATTGGGCTTCACAGCAGCAGAACAACTACCCACAGAGAAGGTCCCTCCCCCGAGCAGGTCTGTGCCTACAGATGGACAACTTTTGCTCTTGCTGGGCCACATATGTCTGTCTCCCATCAACCACAGCAAACCTTCTTCAGCAAGGCGGGATGGCCAATGCCTTACAGACACGGGCTTCTGGATACCTCCTGCACAGCCCCAGTGGTGCCCACTGGCCAGGTGTGATCTGTTCTGTCTGCTGCATGAGAACGCAGGCCCCCGTGACTATGGCCAAGCGGCGCCTGCTGGTTCCAGGCTGCTTTGTCAAGTTCTTAGCTCCCTGCGTCCCAGGCCCCCACACTCATGTCCACCCAGGACTGCCTCTGCTCCCTATCACATGGTCACTCTCTGCAAGCCCACAACAGAATCTGCATCTCTGTCCTTGAGTACTTCCCCTGACAAAGGGTCTTTCCAAACAGCCAGTCAGGTTCACACAGGCACAACCAACAGCTCAACACTGATGGTGCTTCCTGCAGCTCTGGAGAAACCTAAGTGACGCAAGCCTCCTGAAAGCACCTACCCGAGAAAATTTCATGCTACCGAGAGTAGGCTGGAGTGACAATACAATGGGGAGGAGGGTGCTTGACTTGCATGTGGCCAACCTGGGTTCCATCTCTGGCACCCCCTCCCCCACTCCCCACCCCAAGAGATCCCTGAACACAGTGCTAAGAGTACTTCCTGAACACTGTTGGGTATGCTCCCCATCCCCCAAGAAAGATGAAATTAGGGCTGGAGCAATAGTACAGCAGGTTTGCCTTGCATGCAGCCAACTTGGGTTTGAGCCCTAGCACTCCACACAGTTCCCAGAGCTGGCCAGGAATGACCCCTGAACACAAAGCCAGGAGTAAGCCCTGAGCACTACCTGGCATGGCCCCAAAACCAAACCAAAGCAAACAAGGCTTCAGGAGCATTTACTTCTGTTCCACCCATGCTGAGGACAGGAAACCAGGTCCAGCCTCACGAGCACCTGCAGTGATGTATGAGGGCATCACACAGACCAATCCCTGTGTAATTCACCATCCAGATGAGTTTACTGAGTCCCAACCAGCCACCCCCTTGATGCTCCCTTTTTAAGGATTTGGGGAGGGGTGGGTGGAGCAATAGTAGTGGGTCAGACATCTGTCTTGCATGCAGCTGACCCAGGTTCCATTCTCAATATCCCGAATGATCCTGCCCACTAGGAGAAGTTCCTGAGTGCAGAGTTAGGAGTAACCCCTTAGCACCACCAGGTGTGGCCCCAAAACAAACAACTAAATGGGCTCGGGGCCCATTTAGAAGAGAGCACAGCAAGTAGGGTTGCTTGCCTTGCACGAGGCTCACCTGAGTTGTTTCTTTACCCCATAGGGTCCCCCAAAACACCTTAAGAAGTGAACCCCTGAGCAAACCAACCCCCAGGAAAAGGTCTGTGAGGGCTGGAGTGCATGCTCTATGCAAGCCTGGGGCCAACTCCAAGTCACAGCAGTTTCAAACACTTCCAGGGTGGGCCAAAGACTAAAATAAATAAAAAGACCATAACCTCCAAACTTGACTGCTAACTGCACTAACCTAAGGCAGTCCTTGGGCACTGGAGCTGAAACCCAGGTTCTCACTCTCTCCAAGAGGGGCCCTCCAGGAGCCTGGCCAAGGTACCCCCAACTGCTCAGCTGGGGGCGGGGACTGTGACAAGAGCAAAGCCAGGCTCTGACACTATATCTAGAAGTTTCTCTGTTAGATGCTGGCCTAAAGCACCACATGTCACTGATGAGGCCACGCCTCTACTATGCTCAGTCTGAGAACCTCTGGTGACACTTCATGTTGCTGCCCTAACACCAGGAGGACTGGCAGTGTGCAAGGTCACTGAACTGTCACAGAGGCTAAGTCAAGCTCGGCTGTCATAGCTGTTCATCCCAGGAGTCTCCACCTTCCTGGAACTACCCAGAGGGCCCCCACAGGAGACAGGGTCTTTGATCACAGAACCAAGGTCAACAAGGATTTAGACTGTCAAGCTCCTGGGAGTCTTGGACACACCTGTTCCAAGGAGACTCTTTGGAGCCTGGGACACATACAGAGAGGCTAAGTATAGGCTTCACATGTGGGGGGGAGGGCCCAGATTCCATCCCTTGGACTACATGATCTGAGTACCACTGGGAGTAACCCTGATAACCACTGGCTGTGGCCCCCAAGCCCAAATATAAACCAACCATCTGAAGAAGCTACCTGGAGTCATGCACAGGGCCCAGTTCTTCCTGCTGGGCCTGCTGTGGCCTCAAGGTTCTACTTGCGTCCCGGCAGTACTAGAGACACAGGGGCCACAGACTTGACTGCGAGACACAGTGAGGAGTGATGTCTTCAGGGAGCTCAAAAACGAGTGACACAGTTGACACTGTGGCATTTCCCCTCCCCAGTAGGAGCCTTTACTGTGAGGTGGCAGGTGCCCCAGAAACTGAATTTAGTAGTAGCAGTAGTAGTAGTAGAGTAGTAGAAGCCACCGTCACAGTGGGATAGAGAGGGTCTGTTGTGAAGAACAGGAGGGATACAGCAGAGCCACCAATAGCTGGAAGAGGTAGAAGAGGTAGAAAGGATCCTCCCATCCAGTGTTCAGAGAGCAAAGCTGCTCAGGCCAAAGAGAGAGCACACAGGGTTAAGTCTCTAGCCTTACTTGTGGCTGACCTGGGTTTATTCTCTGGCACCACCTATGGTCCCCAGAGCCCCATCAGGAGCAATGCAGAGCACAGAGCTGGGAGTAAATGGTGAGCACAGCTAGGTGAGGTCCCAAAACAAAACATAACAACAAAAACAGAGAGCAAGGTTTTTGCCAATGCCCTGGCAAAGGTCTCTGGGTCTCGGGCCTGGTGATGAGGGAGATGCTGGGCAGGGCCTACAGTGCAGGGAATCCAACGTGGGGCCACCCACACGTGCAAGGCATCACACTCCAACCCTTCCAGCCATCTTCCTGGCTGTGTCCCTTAGACTGAAGCCACCAATTTGTGGTATTTCATTACAGTAACACCAGGACAGAACAGTCCGAGGGAATGATAAGTCAGAGTGACCTGGACCCAAGAACTTCTAGAGGGAATATCTCAGGAGGGCACATGCTCCTGACAGGCAGTTCTGAGCCACACTGCATGCCTCCCTCAGATTTGTTGTCTGTTCCTTGATAAGTGGGCTACAGAGATAGCACAGGGATTGGGCACTTGCCTCACATGTGGCTGATCCCCGTTCAATCCCTGGAACTGCACAGGGTCCCTGCACAGAATCCCAAGCAGTCAGGTCACTTGAGCACAGAGCCTGAGCAAGATAACCACACAACCAAAATAAGAGTGTCTATAATAAGGGCTGCAGAGAAAGTACAGAGGGTAGGTGCTTGCCTTGCACACAGGTGATCTGGGTTTGATCCTGGGTATCCCATATGGTTCCCTGATCCCCACCAGAAGTAAATCTGAGTGCAGAGCCAGGAGTAAGCTCTGAGCAACAATGGGTGTGACTCCCCTCATTCAGATCCCCCCACCCCCCAAAAAAGTGTTGGTAATATTAGAAATCAGGAAAAACCTGGATTGAAATAAATGCTACGTTTGCTGAAATACACAGGGCCTCTCTTTCTCATCTCTCTAGAGATACCCTGACTGGGCTTTGGGCAGGACCCACATTCTCTGGCACAAACAAGCCTACACAGTTATCCCTGAAGTCACCCACTGATCTCCTGCCTCTCAGCCCTTGCCAGGTGCAGATCTGACCCCTCCCTACCAGTTTCTCAGCACCCTCTGCCACATGCCAGGCCTCACCTGTCTGGGAGGTCCAGGATACTTCCGTGCCTTCTGGTCCCTGGAAGTCAAGTACCCACGGCTCCTGCCCCTGCTCCAGTCGGGAAATCAGCTCAGGCTTGAAGACCAGGATCCCTGCTGTGGGGTAGAATGAAGGAGATGGAGTTGGCATGGCCAGGGGCACTGTACTGACCTCAGCCCCTGGGTGCCCAGGAGTGAAGGGCCAGGAGGGATCTGGGCACAGGCTTCTGAAGGGAACCCCAGGGCTGAGGATATCAGTGCCTGCCTCCATGGTCCAGTTCCAGAACAATCCACTCCTAGTCCATTCCTCTTGGAGAACCAGGATGCCCCCCCTCCAGAGACCCCCCCCCCCAGAGTCTGCAAAGCACAGAGGCACTGGTGTAGCAGAGCAGGGGCCCTCCCTCAGCTCAGCCAAGCAGACTCCAGAGTGGAGGCTGCTTAGGGATGATGAAGCAACAATTTCAAATTTCAAGCCACAAGGCGCTAAAAGCCACTCCTCACTCAGTCACTTGAGCCCCATGAGGGACTCCCGACTGCCCCTGACTGCTGGAGCTTGCAGCCCATCCAAGGGCATCCACGCACCACAGGCTCCAGGGCATGAAAAGGTAACAGCACTGTCAAGAGAGCCCTAGCAATGACTGCCTGACCAAAACCCAATCATACATCATCCAACAAATCATCACCACCCAAGGCTATAGCCCCTTGCAAACAGAATAATGAATTACTAAGCAGCACAAAATTCACTGAATCAAAACTCAGGGGTCTGGGGCTGGAGCGATAGCAGAGTGGGTAGGGCATTTGCCTTGCATGCGGCCGACCCAGGTTCAATTCCCAGCATCCCATATGGTCCTCCAAGCACCACCAGGAGTAAGTCCTGAGTGCAGAGTGAGGAGTAACCTCTGCATTGCCACGTGTGACCCAAAAAGCTAAAAAAATTTAAAAAAAATAAAAAACCTCATGGATTTAGGGCACCACTGGAATGATTCCTAAGCACTGAAACAAGAGTAGCAGTCCCTGAGTATCCCAGATATGGCCCCAACTGCCCCCACTCCCTCTCAAAAAGATCAAGACAGCAATGACCTCCTTTGCAAAGTACATACTGGAAGAACACAAACTGACAGAGATAAGCATGAAGCACATAGGATCAGGGAAAAGGGGGGCATGCAACATACAGAAGCTTTGTCAGTGGGGACACACAGACACACAAAACAGGAAGGCATCCACCACCCTTGTTTGGGATCTCAAAAGTTGCTACTTTCTTTTTACTATCTCAAGTACCCAAAAACTAAGCTCTATTCCTTACAGCTAGTTCAGACAAAGGCAGCTGATCTCTGAAAATCCACTGACTCTAAAAGAACTGCTCAAGTGCCCTGCAGCCAGCTGCCTGTGCTGCTCACCATGACTCCTCTGAGGGTGAGTCCTGAACTAAGAGGTAGTGGAAAAGCCCATGCACACAGCCTCTACCACCAACAGGGTGCAGCCTCACCTAGTCCAGCCACGCTGCTGTGGTTCTCCAGCATGACCTCCTTGTAGAGAGCCCTCTGGCCAGGGTCCAGACACTGCCACTCCTCCCTGGAGAAGTGCACAGCCACATCCCCAAACGTCACAGCCTCCTGAAAGGACACATACCAGGAACCCAGGAACCCTTGATTGCTGCCCCACCCCCACCCCATGACATGGACTCCTATGGATCTCAGGCACATGCACTACAGGGTGGGCCCCAGTCTGCTCTGGCTGCAGAATGGAAGGGAGGACAGAATGGAGAGGTGGGATGGTCCAGAGCACAGCTCTCTCCCCTTAAGAACCTGGTCAGTTTCAAGGTCCAGACCCAGTGGGCCCTCCCACAGCATGAGGGGCGGAGGTCATCAGCTCCTACCATGACGCCTAGTGGCTGGTAATCCACACGTCCTGGCTAAGAGACCTGCTGGCAATCATGGAAGGGTCAGAGGTCAGGGGACTGGCACATACCACCCCCAGCTCTGACTTCCCAGCTAGAGCAGGGAATGCAATCTACTGCTATCCTTCACCTCTGACCCGGGATATTCTCTGGCAGGCAAGCTGTATGGGACTGAGGTGGCTGCAGCTCTCAGGTGTCTTCCTGAAGCTTGGTTCATCAGTCAGTTGTGTGGTGTGTTCGACTCCTTCCAGGAACAGTGCAGGGCAACTGCCACATGTGGTGGTGTGTGGTGCCACAAAGGGGATGCAGCAGCGAACAAGGGTCTGGTCTTTACACAGCACAGCCTACTGAAGGAAGCAGTGATTTAAAAAACCCACACAAACAGAATTATAGCTCTGGTAGCTGCAAAGTACAAGGTTCTTTGAAAGCATATAATAAAGAAAATTCTGACTTCGTTGGATGCCTAACTTCCTTGAGAAGCTGACCAGACAGGTAATGGTGATCAGGAAATCATTCTGGGCAGATCAACGTGTGCCGGGATGTGGCTGAAGCAGTCAGTGGAGCTGGATAGAGGGAGAAGCGGACATGAGGGCTGGCAGGCAAGTTTTGCATACTAGAAGCCCAGGTTCAGTATTCAGTGCTACTTGGACCCCTGTCCAGCAGAGCACCACCAGCAGTACACACACGCACTGAGCCAGGAGGAGCCCCTGGGAGTGCTCCCAAACAAACACTTTCCTGGGCTGGGGATGTAGTTCAGTGCTACAGTGCTTCATCTTCTAAGTGTGAGGCCCTGAGTTCCATCCCTGGGCAGTAAAGAGGTACAGGGCTGGAGTGCATGGATATACCAGGCCCTGAGTTTGCTGTCTGCACTGCGTGGAACCCTGAGCACCAAAGGTGTTCGCCTGATAAGCAGCACCCCGCTGCTGAGCCTGAACCCTGAGGACTCAGACCCTGAGTATTACCCAAAAGATGCACTGTCCAGGAGGCCCCCAAGAAAACAAAAATCCAGTGTAATGCAAGTTCATTCCAAATGAACTCTCGGATGTAAATTAATGTGTCTAACCCACTGCAACTGAGCCTCTCACAGGCAGCCTCCGGGGAAGTCAGACTGAAGAACGGGCTTCCCTAGGGGAGACACAGCGCACCAAGTGTCCTTTGGATACTTGTCCTTTGCCTACGTGTCCTTAGGCAGCAGAACCATCGCCAGGAGACCTTCTCCTGGACCTGGCTACGGCCGCGAGGCTGCCAGAATCCGGAGGAGCACAGACTACAGCACTCAAGAAACTGTCCTTTGGGGCTGGAGTGACAGTATAGCGGGTAGGGCGTTTGCCTTGCATGCCGCCGACCCAGGTTCGATTCCCAGCATTCCATATGGTCCTCTGAGCACCGCCAGGAGTAATTCCTGAGTGCATGAGCCAGGAGTAACCCAAAAAGCAAAAAAACCCAAAGCTGTCCTTTCTGCCACTACGCCCGGATCTTCCGGCCGTAAGGAAGGAAAACCAACGTCGGGGGGGGGGGGGGGGGAGAGGCAGACACGCAGGAGAGAGAAAGGAGGATCCCCGGGGCAGGTCCAATCCCGGCGGGAGGGCCGCGCAGGAGCCCGGCCTCGCGGGGTCGAGGCCGTGCCGACCCCTTCCGTGCCCGGCGCATCGGACTCTCGGGCCGCCCGCCCGTACTTTCCCCGCGGAGGGTGCGAGCGGGCCGAGGGGCGAAGGCCAGCTGCAGGCCACTCACCCTCGGCGCGAGGAGCTCGAGGAACAAGAGGACGCTAGCTCCCGAGGGCGGCCGGCGGCGACACCAAGCGACGCCGTCGGAAGCGGGCCCGGACCCGGATCCAGCCGGGGCACGCACACTTCCGGCCGCTCTGGGCGGCCAGGAGGCTCGGCAGTCTCAGTGGTTCCCTGCCGGTAGCACAGCGCGAGGAAAGAGGCGGGGCCCAGGCAGGGGGCGGGCCCGTGACTGGGATGTTCAAGGAATCCCGGGCGTGTGGGCGGGGTCTGGGCGCGGGGGCCCAGAGCCGGGATAGCCCTGGAGCCGAGTGGCTGAGAGGCCACTCCCACCGCCGACAAGGAATTGGGGCGGGGTCCGGGACGGAGTCAGAGGGGAACGGACGTGGGAATCCAGGAAGGCCAGGGCAATCTAGGTAGCTTCGGGATGCGGTAAAGGAGGCTCCAAGTTAGGTCCCAGAAGACTGGGGTGGGCGTCGGGGAGGATCGGGACAGAATCTGGAGTGGCGTGAAAGTCTGGCCTGATCCGCTGTGGCCACTCTGAATCTTTGTTGTAGGGCCATACACGGGGAGGTGCTAAGGGCTTGCTCCCAGCTGCGCACCTGGACTGCGGAGCCTTCCCAGGCTACCAGGGCCCTGAACTAGAGCAGCCGTGTGGGAGGAGCAAGTATTCTCTGCATGGGGGGGCAGAAATCCTGGCCCAAAGCTTCGGAGTGGCCTTGACCTGAGTGCAGAGTCGAAGGCCAGGGGAGGCGTGTATCGAGGTAAGGCTGGGAGGATCGCAGAAGGCTGTGGGGCCAGTGAAAGGTCATTTTTTTTGGGGGGGGGGGGTGAAGGGGACGGTGTTTGGGCCACACTCAGTGATGCTTATGGATTACTTCTGGCGGTGCACAGGGCCTATATGAAGTTCCAGGGGGCGAACCAGGGTCGGCCATGTGCAAGGCAAGTGCCCTACCTGCTACACTGTATCTCTGGCTCCTGCCCTGGAGGGCGGTGTGGAGGCGGGGTTTAGACAGGGCGGAATCCCTGGTGCAGTACGTGGGATTAACTGGACGGTGGGGTTCAGAGAAGCAGAAAGGCTCAGGACCTATGTGACACAATGGGGGACATACATCCTCCCCACCCCCCGCAGAGAGCCTGCACTGAAAAGCTACCTCTCACTGCGTTCGTTGCCACCTCTCCTGATTTCCAGATGGGTCAGGGGCTTCGGTTCTGAGTGTTCTCCCACATTCACGTTCTGACTTGTCTTAAGGCTCAACCTGAAGCCTATCTTCCCCGAAGGCCTTAAGACTACAGAAGCTCTAAGCAAACCACTCTGGCAGGATGCCTGAAACTTCCCTGTGGGCTCCAGTTACTGGGGAATTAGCTAGGTAAACTCTTGAGCCCAGCCAGACCCACTCACAGCTGAGCCAGACACCACCACCACGGTAGACAGGCGGGAATGCCCTAATGCAGCAAATCTGGCATAAACCAAAGTGGGCATATGCCAGGGAAAAACAATGTGGGGCTATCATGCACCTGGGATGTCAGCACCTACCCAAGTCCCTCTTCTGCCGGAAACTCAGCCTCCCATAATCACAACCCCAGGTCCTGCAGCTGTGCATGGACTTAGGAGCATGTATGCACATGGGGAGTAAATGACTATTCTGGGAAGATGTGGTCCTACTTTGCATCTGGAGCCATGATCCTGCTGGAACGAACCCTGGGTCATCCTGCACCACCCACGGTCCATTTGGAAGCAGCAGTGTGCTGCAGCGGCAGCTGGCATGGCTCAGCTATGGTCCAGCAGGAGTTGAGGTGCGTCTGGAACACGGTCCTGGTGAAAGTGCACTCTGCTGCGACCATTAGCACCAGGAATCCCAGTCTCTTTGGAACAACGACCGGGCTGGAGCTGCGGTCCAGCAGAAGGACGGTAGACTGGAAAAACCCGGTGTGTAAGCACAGTTCTCCCGAACACAGTGTGGTGTGGAACCACAGTCCGGCTGAAAGCATGGTCTGGCTTGAGGACGACTGCGTGCCTTCAAGGCTCAACAATTTGAGTGCATGAGCCAGGAGTAACCCCTGTGCATCTCTGGGTGTGACCCAAAAAGCAAAAAAATAAAAATAAATAAATGTGCTGTGCTTATAAGGTTCAATCTGCAAAGGTGCCCTGTTATCACCTTTACATTCCTAGCTTATGTTCCTTCCACCAATTTACTCAATTTAAAGAGAACTTGAGAAACTTTAAACTCAATATGTGAACACAACATTCATATACTACCTTAATATTTACTTTTATTCAGAACAGAAAATATGGACTCTATCCTTGATGAGAAAGCAGCTCTAGAAACATTTGAGCCTCTGCAGCCAGGTAGGAAATAGGCTTAGAGAGGGCAGCTTTGTAGGTGTTTGAATGTTGTTTTTTATGGGGGGTTGGACCATACCAAGTGATGTTCAGGGGCTACCCCTGACTCTGTACTCATAAATTACTTCTGGTGGTGCTCTGAGGACTATATGGGATGCTAGGATGGAACCTGGGTTGGCCACATGAAAGCAAGTGCCCTACCATTGTGCTATCTCTGGCCCCTGTAATTTTGGTTTTCAGACCATACTGGGCAGTGCTCAGGGCTTACTCCTGGCTCTGCACTCAGGAATCACTCCAGGCAGGGCTCAGGGGAACACACAGGATGCCAGGAAATGAACCTGGACCAGCTGCCTGCAAGGCAAGCACCATGCCCACTATATTATTGCTTCAGCCCCAGCTATGGAGTCTTTTACTCATAAGAAATAAGGTCAGCCTCAAGGGCATCCACTATAGCACTGTCAAGACCATTTCCAAGGAGGAAGTGTAATGGAGTAGGAAACACTGATAGAAGAGATACATTAGGACTTGGCACATGGTACATAATTGATGGCCAGTATTTCTTTTTCAGAGAAAGGCTTCAGCAGCATTTATTGGGGGTGGTGGAACAGAGGCCACCAGAAGCAATACTTGGTCTGGTAATACAGGCTTGACCATTTGGTGCTCAGATCTGATGATGTGATAAGTGCCAATACCCATTAGGGCTACACCCTACAGTGCTCAGGGGTCATATGGTGCCAGGTGTTGAACTAGGGGCCTATGCAAGACTTATAATACACCCCTCTGAACTAGATCTGACCCATATTTGCTTCACATTCCAAATGTGGTTGTGGGGAAAGTTTTCAGAGTATTTGTAATATCTCTATAAAACTTAAGACATTGTGTCTTTAAGGCTGTACTTCTCTGTGGAGTGCCCACTTTTATGGTATCAATGAAACATGTTTTCTTTGCTTTTGTTTTATTGGGCCACACCTGGCTATACTGAGGACTTACTCCTGGCTCTGTGTTTGTTCAGGGGTCACTCTTGGACTCATGGTGCCAGGGATTGAACCTGGGGCAGCTGCATGCAAAGTAAGCCCCCTACACATTGTACTATCACCCCTATGAGAAAACATTTCTAAGATCCATTCATTATACAGAATCTTGAGGTGGTCATATATGTTTTAGTTGCAAACAGACAAGATTTCATGTGAATTCAGAACAGAACAATAGATAGTATGAGATAAGCTGGCTGTGCCAACATCCTCATCTGAATTTGGCAAGAAAAGATTTTCTATTTCCTGAACCTGGTCCCGTGCATCAGAGCAGGAAAGCTGTTCACCTTTTACATGGAACTATCCAAATGCTCTTTCATGCAGATCCTAAAAATAATCCTGGAAATGCAGTCACCTAGCACAGGGTCTAGTGTTGCTGTATTATGCCTGTGCCCAGGCAATCCATGCAGTTTTTAATATATATTTTTTGGTTTTGTCTTTACTTTTGGGTCACCCCAGCAGTGCTCAGAGCTTACTCCTGAGTTCAGTGATCACTCCTAAAGGGCGCAGGGAACCATATGGGACGCTGATATCAACCCCATATGGTCCCCGTGCAAGGCAAACGCCCTACCTGCCACGTGGGTTTTGAGCCTGCTCAGAACAAAGGTTAAGGGAAAGCACGATTCAGCACCGCGGAAAGCGGCACGCGGCCCTGTTCAGGTGATGCGGTTCAGCACGGCGGAGAGCGGCACGGCTGGAAATGAGGTTCAGCACCGCGGAGAGCGGCAAGCAACAGGCTGGGACATGAATTCAGCACCGCGGAGAGCGTCGCCTGCTGGTGCTGGGTGTGGGGTTCAGCATCTGGCCAGGTGGCCTTGGGGATGCTATAGATGTAGTAGACAGGAGATCCATTATCCCTCTCACGACCTCCCCCACACCAAGTTTAAATGAGACAGGCTGGGGGAGGATACAGACATAGGGACAACACAGGGGCTCTGGGGTGGTGTCCAACTGACCACCCCTGTGAAGTGCAAATCTTGGGGGACAACTTCAGACAACCAGAAAGCCGTGCCTTTTGTTTTGAGGTGCAGAGATGGACCCAGGACCTCACACATAGAAGGTGCATGCTCTACCACTTAGCTATATCCATAGCCTCCCTGCCTTTTTTGGGGGTTTTTTTGGGGTCACACCCAGCAATGCTCAGGTGTTACTCCTAGCTTTTCACTTAGGAGTTACTCCTGGCGGTGTTTAGGGGACCATATGGGATGCCGGGGATCGAACCCGAGTCGGCCACGTGCAAGGCAAACGCCCTACCCGCTGTGCTATCGCTCCAGCCCCATAGCCCCCCTTTTTGGTGTAGAATCTTAACCTAAGTGTTACTGTAGGTAATGATCAATTCTGGATTCTTATGGATGGCATGTAAGATCTTAGTGTCAGAGTGATAACACAGTAGGTAGAATGTTTGCCTTGCATATGGCAAACCCATGTTCAATCCCCAACATCCCATAAGGTCCCCTGAGCACCGCCAAGGGTTATCCCTGAGCACAGAGTTAGGAGTAAGTCCTGAGCACCACTATGTGTGGCCCCAAAACAACAACAAAATAGTTGTTCATTGTTATAAAGGTCTTCCTTAGCTCTTGTAGATAAAGTAGATGTATCCTTACAAGCTGTAGCAGATTTAGAAACAGGAACCCACACATTGTGAACAGTAGCCCCAATTGCTGGAAGATGTATATTAATATACTATAATATAGCACTGCACTGTCCTCCCGTTGTTCATCAATTAGCTCAAGTGGGCCCAGAAACATTGTGAGACTTGTTGTTACTGTGTTTGGCATATATTCAGACCACGATGCACTGAGAATATAAGTGAATCACACACAGACACGGAGAACCAAATCAAACACCTGGAAATTAAAAAACTCAATGATGAACAACGAGTGGGTCAGGAAGGAAGTCAAGGACGAAATCAAAAGATACCTGGAAACCAATCAGAATGAAGACATGAGCTACCAGAACCTATGGAATGCAGCTAAAGCCATGTTAAGGGGAAAATTTATAGTTCTGCAACCATTTCTCAGGAAGGAAGAAAGGGCCCACATAAATAACTTGATTTCACAGCTCAAGAGTTTAGAAAAGGTTTAACAAAAGGAGCCAAATCAGGAAGAAGGAAAGACATCATAAAACTTAGAGCAGAAATCAACGACATGGAATCAAAAACAATCCGAAAGACGAATGAAACCAAGAGCTGGTTCTTCAAGAAAATAAACAAGATATATAAATCATTTGGTTTTTTTTTTTTTTTGAGGCCTCACCAGTAGTGCTCGGCGTCACTCCTAGCTCAGTACTTGAGGGTCACTTCAGGTACTACAGATCAATTCTGGGCTTCCTGAATGCAAAACATGTCCTCCTGACGAACAAGCTATTTTTCTGGCTCCGGCTCCTGTGATACTCATTTCAAAGACAAAATAGAGAATCTTTTATTTTATTTATTTTTTTTTTTGCTTTTTTGGGTCACACCCGGAAGTGCTCAGGAGTTACTCCAGGCTCTGCACTCAGGAATTATTCCTGGTGGTGCTCAGGGGACCATATGGGATGGTGGGGGTTCAATCCAGGTAGGCTGTGTGCAAGGCAAATGCCCTACAGCTGTGCTATTGCTCTGGACCTCAATATTTTCATCTTGATGGTCAAGGTGAGAATGATAAGAAGAAGGCAACTTTAAGAAGTCATGTTCTGAGTGTAGGAACACACTTTGAGTGGGAATTCTTCAGCTTGGAAAGATTCTGAGCCTGGACCACGTCTCCCAGTCCTTGGTGATCCAGTCCCTGAAATCTCTTTGTTTTAGCCATTTTGACCCTGATTTTTATCATCTAAGTAAAAAAAAAAGTTTAATTTATTATACTATATTCTTTTTTTTTTCTTTTTGGGTCACACCTGGCGACGCACAGGGGTTACTCCTTGTTCTGCACTCAGGAATCAGCCCTGGCAGTGCTCAGGGGACCATATGGGATGCTGGGAATCGAACCGGGGTTGGCCGCGTGCAAGGCAAACGCCCTACCCGCTGTGCTATGGCTGGAGTGATAGCACAGCGGTAGGGCGTTTGCCTTGCACGCAGCCAACATGGCCGACCCGAGTTCGATTCCTTCGCCCCTCTCGGAGAGCCTGGCAAGCTACCAAGAGTATCTTGCCCGCACGGCAGAGCCTGGCAAGCTCCCGTGACGTATTCGATATGCCAGACACAGTAACAACAAAGTCTCCAATGGAGACGTTACTGGGCCCACTCGAGCAAATCGATGATCAACGGGAGGGCCTTTACTTTACTTTACTATATTCTTAATGTTTATACTATATTCTCTAAAGAGAGAAAGAATATAGTATAACAAATTAAATTTATTTTTTTAAAACTTAATTATACAGGGCTGAAGCGATAGTCCAGTGGGTAGGGCATTTGCCTTGCACGCAGCCAACCTCACAGACCCGGATTCAATTCCTCTGCCCCTCTTAGAGAGCCTGCCAAGCCACCGAAGTATCTCGCCCGCACCTCAAAGCCTGACAAGCTCCCCATGATGTATTTGATATGCCAAACATAGTAACAAGAAGTTGCACAATGGAGATGTTACTCGGCCCGCTCGAGCTAATCGATGAACAACGGGAGGACAGTGCAGTGCTATATTATACATATAATATATAGGTGTAATTAAGCTCTTTAGAGAGAAAGAATATAGTCCAAAAACAGACAGGCACGTGTATATATATACACGCATATATGTATAATATAGTACTGCACTGTACTCTCACTATAATATAGTACTGCACTGTACTCTCACTAAATAGTAGGAGCTCCCGTGAACAAGGTCTCTCTGTCCATCTGGTTCACACACCAGCAAAAACACAAACATGAAACAACATATCCTAAGGTGGAGAGACAGTGGTTAAGGCACTTGCTTGCCTTGCGTCCCCGATTCTTGCACCACATATAACCCTCAGGCACCACCAAGGTCACTCCTGAGCACCACCATCACTGGGTGTGCCCACATCCCCAAAGTCCCCCAAGAAACACACACACACACAAATTCCTTTTCTGATCACAAGTTATTCTTTAGAAAGCAGAGTAATGTGCAAAGAAAACAAAACCCACTCACAATCCCATTTGTTGGGGTGGAGCTGTGTGTTCATCAGCCAGACTCAGCTGGTTAGAAATGAAGCTCTTGGGCCAGAACAATATCACAGCAGGTAGGGTGCTCACCATGCACACGGCTGACATAGGTTTAATTCCTGGCACTCCATCCCATGTGATGCCCTGAGGTCTGTCAGGAGTGACCCCTGAGCACAGAGCCAGGAGTAAGCTGTGAGCATTACCAGGTATGGGTCCCAGCCCATGTCCCCCCAAAAAAATGCTCTCCTATGGGTACCAGGACTCAAAGGTCAGGTGGGACTTGTTCTGGCTCAGCCCTTTGCACTGTCCTCCCCTGGGCTGCCACACTGCACCATAGCCCTGCCCCTCCCTCCTGAGTCTGCAATGGGTATCTGCAGCAGAGCTCGAGGTGGAGGTAGGGCCCCTCCAGGATGGATTCTCTGCCGGGGGTCACCTCAGAAGGGAGCCCAAGGGGGAGCAGTCTTGGCAGTGTACTTTCTGGTGCTGGATAAGGGCCGACAGCCGGCTGCAGGCTCTCCCACAGGTGTGGCACCTATATGGCCTCTCACCGCTGTGGAGTCGGTAGTGCTCATTCAACGTGTAGCTCCTGCGGAAAGCCTTGCCACATTCTGTGCACGAGAAGGGCTTCTCTTTGCTGTGTGTCTTCATGTGCAGAGTAAGGTTTGACTTCCGGCTAAAGGCTCTGCCACATTCCCTGCACTCAAACGGCTTCTCCCCTGTGTGCAGTCTCTGATGCAGGAGCAACAGGGAGTGGTGTTTGAAGGTCTTGTGGCACACAGGGCACTGGTAGCACTTATCCCCTGCCTGTGTCTTCTGTGCCATGAGCAGCAGAGGGTTTGGACACCCACCGTCCTCATGAGGCCTCTCCTCAGAGTGCAGCCTATGGTGTTTGAGGAGCGAGGACCCGCGGATAAAGCGCTGTCCACACTGCAGGCAGGTGTAGGGCCTCTCCCCACTGTGGATGCGGTGGTGCTCGGTGAGGGTGAACCTGCGGCAGAAGGCCTTCCCGCACTCACTACACTCAAAGGGCTTCTCCCCTGTGTGGAACTTCCGGTGCTGCTGGAGCCGGGAGCTGCGGCTGAAGGCCTTGCCACACTCTCCACACTCAAAGGGCTTCTCCTGAGTGTGGACTCTGTGGTGTGCAGTCAGCTGCATGCTCTGCCGGAAGGCCTTTCCACACTCACCACACTGGTAGGGCTTCTCTTCGGTGTGGATCAGTTGGTGTCGCAGCAGGATGGAGCTTTGCTTGAAGGCCTTACCGCACTCGGTGCACTGGTAGGGCTTGGCCCCCGTGTGCACGACCTGATGCCTAAGCAGCAGTGACCTGTATTTGAACCCCTTGCCACAAGTGCAGCTGTACACTCGCTCACCCAGAGCAGTGGTGGAGGATGGCTCCAGGCCCTGTAGCCCTCCTAGAGCCCCTGGAAATGTGTTGGCCTGGGGCTTGAGAAGTCGCTTATCTGACCAGCTCTCAGGACTGCCAGTCACTTCAGGTAACCTGGGGTCCTTCTGGGGGAGGCACCCCCAAACCATGCCTAATAAGCCTGCCAACTTAGCAGACCCTCTCCTCAGAGAAGAAACATTGATCCTGGCTTCCATCCTGGAATCTGAATAAACACAAAGTGGAAGAATGACTTAACCTCTAGGTTCACAAAGAGAATGCACTGGTCTAGGACAAAATCTTCTATCAGAGAAATAGAAAGGTTTGGAAACTTCTTTCAAGAAGCTTGGCAAGGGAACTGGAGTGATAGGACAGCAGGTAGGGCACCTGCCTTGCAGGTGGCTGATCTGGGTTCGATCCCCAGCACCCAATAAGGTGCCTCAAGCCCTGCCGGGAGTAAATCCTGAGCACAGAGCCACACAGAGCCAGGAGTAATCCTCGATAAGAGCCAGTGTGCCCACCCCTCCCCCACAAAAGGGCTTAGCAATAATTGGGTGTAAAGGGGCAAGTATAGGGAGGAAGTGTGGGGGAGGGCTCTGCATGGAAGCCCCTGCCAGACCCACAGGAATGGGAGCAGGTTGGCGCAGGCCTCCAAAACACAGGAGGTCGTTGGCTGGCTCCACATCCCCATCTTTGCTCCCCTCTTTCAGAGCATTCACTTAGCAGACTACAGTGACTACAACTTGCTCTCTTCCACACTGTTACAGCCTCAAACTCAGCCCAGGCATTTGTTTGTGGAGGGCTGGGAGTGAGAACAGCTCTAAGGCCTCCCTAGGTGGGTCAGTCCTGGTGCCTGCCATCTCACAGAGCTGACCTGACCCCTTAGACAACAGAATGGGCACTCATGTGCTTGGCTTCTTGCACAAGTGAATCCTGGGTTAACTCTTGGACCTACATACAAAGCAGTTCACAGGAAATGTGTTTCTGCTGTAAGCAACATGATGTGAAGCTTGCTGCTGAATAAGCTCTGGGTATTGCAAGGGGCTGGGTGCTGGCCAGGCCTCCTGACACTTCACTCTCACCTGGGCATTGGCTGGCTTTGGTCCCATGCTCCACGGCCGCTTGCAGAATCAAGGCTCCAGGCTCCTCCCCTTGCTCCAGGAGGGCGACCAGCGCTGGCTTGCTGGCAAGAAAGCCTACACCAGAGGGGAAAGCTGTGAATCTGGGGAGCTGACAGGGAGGATGATACCCACTGACTGGCAGGGCACATGGTGCTTGAAGAAACACCTCGCTTCCCAGAAACAAGGCACCAGGTAGTCATGAGAGATGGTGGGGCTCTAGCGTTCCCTCCAAACAACTCAGAGTTTGCATTCAGAAAGGAGCCAAGAGGCCAGAAGGACAGCTCTGTGGGCTGGAGAGTAAGCTTTACATGAACAGGGTTTGATCCCCAGCACCCCATATGGTCCCCTGAGTGATGCAAGGAGTGATCCCTGAGTGCAGAGCCAGGAGTAAGCCTTGGGTACTCCAGGTATGGCCGAAACTCCCCAGGCTACCCCTCCCCTAGCCCCCCACCCACACCCTAAGGAACCAACTCCCTGGCATGGCGAATGGAAGAGACAGCAGAATTGTCTTAGCCCAGTCCCAGGACCAACCAGGAAGCCTCACCCAGAGAAGCCAAGTGCCCATAGTTCTCCAGCATCACATCTCTGTACAGTGTCCGCTGCTCAGGAGATAGACAACTCCACTCCAGCCTTGTGAAGTACACAGCCACGTCCTCAAAAGCCACAGACCCCTGCAATTACAAACCCTGCTGTCCTGGCAGGGTCCTGTGTAGCTCTGGGGAATGACACCTCAGGTGTACACCCAGTCCAGTGTGGAGGAAACTGCAGTATTCCCTGAGGGAGGGAATAGTCCTGCCCCCACAAAACACCACAAGGAAAGGCTCTCAATACTGACCTCACTCCTCTGTGCAGACAGCTGGAGCACATGAAAACACAGCTCTTAGCCTCCACTTCTAATTGGTGTGGGTGCTCCTGACTCTCCTCAGCTCCCAGCAGAGATGGGAAGCAGGGAGGGGCTGCACGTCCACAGCACGATGGAAGCAGAAGGTGGATAAGGAACCCCCCACCCCCTGTGGCTGGACCCTGTGTACTGCAGGAGACCCAGAATAGCCTGCTTTTGCTCGCAGTGACTCTGAGATGACAGAGGGAGGACCCAGTAGCAGACCCGACTGCTATGACCCCATCCTTTAGAGGAGCAAGAGGTGGCCTGAGGTTTCCTGGGAAGGTGCTCAGAATGGAAAAGCTGGGGCTACAGAGATAGTAGGTGAGTAGGGCACTTGCCTTGCACACGGCAGGCCCACATTCTATCCCAGAATCCGACATGGTCCCCTGAGTAGCACCAGGAGTGATTCCTGAGTTCAGAGCCAGAAGTAAACCCTGAGCATTGCCGGATGTAACCCCCCACCCCCCCGCCCCACGCACACACTGAAAAGCTGGGCTGGGAGGCAGAGGAAGTACTCACCTGGGATCTGGGCACTGGGTGTGGCACTGCCATTCTAGGGTCCTGTTAGAAGAGGGGCAGCTGCTAGGGACAGTCTGTGCCTGTTGTACAGACCCCAGGCCTAAGCACCCATTCACACAGCTGTTTCCAATGCCCAGGACAGCCCAAAACAGGAGTCAGGAAAGGTGGCAAAAGCACCTTCCTCACCTCCCATGCACAAGGCTCCACCCCTCCCTCCCTCCCTCCCTCCCTCCCTTCTGCTCACCCAGGCAGCCTTCTGTGATGACCCCATTGAAAACACCACCATCACAGAATCCCCAGCCCTGATCCATGCTGTCTTTTCCTCCACAACACCTATGTTGCCAGTCATGAAGACATAATCAACTTACTTGCTTATCCATGTGTCAAGTAGGACAGGACCAAGTCTGGTTATTGCTGCTGCACCCCAGTGACTGAGGGTGGGGCCTGTACTCAGCAGGACTTGGGGAAAAGGTGAGAGCATCCATTATGTGGGTGACTCTGCAGAACATCAGAGAACATTCTGAGCTGGAGAAAGAACACAGCAGTAAAGGCCCTGCCTTGCATTGGCCTGACCCATGTTCCATCCCCAGCAGGCAATATCTGGTCCCCAAGCATCACTGGTAGTGACCCCCAAGCACAGAGCTATGAGTAGCCTGAGCTCCATGGGGCTGTGGCCCAAAAAACTTAAAACAAACAAACAAACAAAAACAAGAGAAAGAAAACATTCTTGGTGTCAGAGAGATGGTTCAAAGAGCTGGAGCATATACTATGCACACTAGAGGCCTTATTTGAGCCTTTGTATTCCCTGGCCCCAGGTTACTGCAAGGTGTGGCAGTATTTTATTTCCAAATAAAACAAAGTCTCTTCCTCTTGCTGCATCAGAGTAAGTAGGGAAATAAACCTGGCAGCCCACTAACCCTACTTTCTGGATCACAAAACTTTTGGTTCCTCTGATTTCTCCAGATTTACTGTTAAATGTTTCGAGGATGGAAAAGAGCTATTGTGTTGGGGCCACATTTGGTAATACTCAGAGCTTATTCCTGGCTCTGAACTCAGGGGACAATGAGGTTCTGAGAATAGAACCCGGGTGGGTCATGTGTAAGACAAGTATCCTGCACACTATACCAGCGTTCTGGCCTGGAAAAGCTTTATTTATTTATTTTTTGATAGAAAACTATTGATTCCCGCTGCCCTCCCCCGTGGGAGTTTTATTATTTAAAAATTTTTTTTAATTGAATCACTGTGAGATAGACCCTTACAAAGCTGTTCATGATTAGGTTTCAGTCATAGTGTTCCAATACCCATTCCTCCACCAATGTACATTTTCCAGCAACAGTGTCCCCAGTTTCTCTGTCATCACCTCCTAACCCCCTCCAGCATACCTCTATGGCAAACACTTCTCTCTTTCTCTCTCTCTCTCTTTTACTCTCTCTCATTTTGGGCACTGTGTTTTGCAATACAGATACAAAAATGTTATCAGGAATATCCCTTTATCTACTTTTGACACACAGCTCTTGTCCAGAGTGATCATTCCCAACTATTATTGTCATACTGGTTTCGTTTCTAACTTACCTACCCTCTGGATTTTTTTTTTTTCTTTATGGGTCACAACCGGTGATGCTCAGGGGTTACTCCTGGCTCTGCACTCAGGAATCACTCCTGGCGGTACTCAGGGGACCATATGGGATACTGGGAATCAAACCCGAGTCAGCTGCATGCAAGGCAAACGCCCTACCTGCAGTGCTATTGCTCCAGCCCCCCCCCCCTTTTTTTTTTAAATTTAGGTTTTGAGGTTGGAGCCATAGTACAGTGGGTAAGGCACTTGCTCTGCAAGTGGCTGACCCAGGTTTGATCCCTAGCATCACATATGGTCCCCTGAGCCCACCAGGAGTGATTCCTGAATGCAGAATCAGGAATAACCCCTGAGCTTATGCCAGGCGTGGTTCCCCCCAAAAAACTCCCCAAAATTAAAAAAAATTAATTTTAGGTTTTTGACTACACCCAGCTGCACTCTGGGATCACTCCTGGAAGTGCTTGGGGTACCATATATAGTGCCAGGGATCGAACCTGAGTTGGCTGTGTGTACAGTTAAGTGCCCTACCTGCTGTACTATCTCTCCCACTCCAAGAAGAGCAAAACCCATGAACAAGTCAGCTGTGGCCTGGAGTTCACATAACTGCACAGGCTTTGGTTTTGGCTCGCTCTCGAAAGATTCTTTACCCCTATAACTGGGTAAAGGATCTCTAAGGTAGGCTTTTCCTTCTGGCTGGAGTCTCAAGTAGCTGCCAACTTGCAGAATGTGAGAGTGGTTCCCTTAAGGGTGTATCTGTAGCTACAGCACCAGAGAGCACCTGGTGGGCGCATCGCCTGCCCTGACCTAACCCCAGAGCCCCTGCGGCACGGAGAGAACCCCTTTGCGCTTGCACCTGGCCTACGGGGGCTGATCTGGAGGCTGGGTGGGTCATGGTGCCTGACAGGTCCTTGGTCCCCAGAGCGACACGCTTGTCCTAGGCACAGGGCACCTCCCTGGGGGGCCCCACTTGAGAATACGAGCTGCGAAGCTGGACGGTGCGACCCAAGAGCACCTGTTAGCGCAGAGGCTGAGGGCGCACCGGACCGGGCGGGCGGACCCCTGCTCGGAGCACGGCGGGCAGCGGCCGGGAGGCGGGGCGGCTTCGGCACAGGCCGGCCCGGCCCGGAGCCCTCCCTGCCCGCCGCCGCCGTCCTCGGTTCGCTTACACGTTCAAGGCCGGGCTGCGGCGACGCTCCGCGGGGCCGGCCGGGGCCTCCTCGTCCCGGAAGCCTGCAGGGCCGGCGCAGGGCTCGGGTCCCGTACGGAGGGGAGACACCGGTCCGGCGGACGGAGCTCCGGGGGCAGGTATGCGAGCCCAGGGCCGGCTGGCGCGGGGGAGCCGGCCACGCTGTGGCCAGTCCCGGGCTGGACCCGCCCCGCCCGGCTCGGAGCCGCGCCAGGCTCGGCCGGCAGTGCGACGCCTCTGCCCGCGACTCCCGCGGTCGGTCCCCACGCCACGGCCCGCCTGCAGCGTGGGGCGGGGAGGAGCGCGGTTCCGGCCCGAGCCCGTCCGGGCCGCCGCTCTAGGAAGCTGGGAGGACCGCGCACTTCGGTGTTACCGGATGGCTTCTGGGGCTGGAGGAGTCATAGAGAAGTTCCAGCGGGTGCGCTGGGGTCGTTCACGCTAGACCTCGCGAAACACCCAGACCTGCAGTACTATTCGGCAACCAGGCCCTGTCGCAGCAACTGCCCTTTCCTACTTTCTTCTTTGCCTATGTGAATGTGGTTTGAAGGCCACACCCGGCGGTTCTCAGGGCTTGCTCCTGTTCTGCGCTCAGGGATTATTCCTGGCTCCCTTTGTGGTGTCGGGATCCAGCCAGGTTGACTGCAAGGATTCTGACCTGTTTCTGAGACCCTACACGCAGACACACAGACACCCCCCACCCCTTTCAAGAGCCACATTCACCTCCACTGCGCTGTTTATTCCACTGTCCAGACCCCCACCTTGTTCCTCTGAAAGCTCCCCCACCTCCAGCCAAGCACATGTGGGTGCCTCCGCCCTAGAAGGGGGCCATCGGCACTCCAGGCCACGTCGGGAGTCGCTCTTTGGGGTCTGGTGACCCGGTACCGGTGACTCAACTTCTCCAGGGCGAGACCGCACCCCTCACCCACCACCCAGTCCACAAAGCGACCGTCAGGCTAGAGAGCAGCGGAGGGCAGCGAGCGGACTACAAGTCCCAGAGTGCACAGCGCACCGCCCCGGAAGGGACCACGGCTCTGGCCCCGCCCCGGAAGATAAGCCGGCTCCTAGGCGCCGCGCTTCCTCTTTCGGCCTTGCTCGGTTGCAGGTAGGACGTGTGTGTGGCGATGTCGCCTTCGTGCCATCCGTCGCCATCCGCCGCCTGGGTGCCACGGGAGACCGTGGCCGACTTGGGAGAGGGCGCCGGGGCAACGGATGGGAATGGGGGCGCGGAGGGGCAGGGGCGCGGCGGGCGGGGCCCGACGGCTGGGGCCCCCGCGGCTGGCGCTGGCCCGGCCGCGGGCGCTGATCCCGGCGGCGGGCTCTGGCCCGGGCCGCGGCCTTGACGCAGAACCCCGGCGCTGACCCAAAGCCCCCCGCAGACCGCCGCCATGGGCCGTGTGATCCGCGGGCAGAGGAAGGGCGCCGGCTCGGTCTTCCGCGCGCACGTGAAGCACCGCAAGGGCGCCGCCCGCCTGCGCGCAGTGGACTTCGCGGAGCGCCACGGCTACATCAAAGGCATCGTGAAGGTATGCGGGGCTCCCGCCGGGGCCGGGAAACGCGCGCCTGCCCGGGGATTTCCCCCCCTGACGCCGTCTCGGTCCGTAGGACATCATCCACGACCCGGGCCGCGGCGCACCCCTCGCCAAGGTGGTCTTCCGGGACCCGTACCGGTTCAAGAAGCGGACGGAGCTGTTTATCGCCGCCGAGGGCATCCACACCGGCCAGTTCGTGTACTGCGGCAAGAAGGGTGAGCCCCGCGCCTGCCTGGTGGTTCCAGGTTGGCGGAGGAGTCAGAGGTGGGGTCTCGGGCAGACCTGTGTATGGGTTCGGGGGTCCGAGAGAACCTAAGGAGGCTTCTTGTCTCGGCATTAGGGTCACTGCCCGGACGGAGTGGGCTGCCTTGCCGTCATCCAGCGGGTAACAGCCTCGCTCCCTTATTGCAGCTCAGCTCAACATCGGCAATGTGCTCCCGGTGGGCACCATGCCGGAGGGCACCATCGTGTGTTGCCTGGAGGAGAAGCCTGGTGACCGCGGAAAGCTGGCCCGCGCCTCGGGGAACTATGCCACCGTCATCTCTCACAACCCTGAGACCAAGAAGACTCGAGTGAAACTCCCCTCCGGCTCTAAGAAGGTCATTTCCTCGGCCAACAGAGCTGTGGTCGGTGAGTGGCCCACAACGGTGGGTGTAGAGTCGTTGTGAACAGCCGGTGGCAGGTCTAGACCAGGCTCCAAGCACCCTCAGGACTGCGGGGCATTTCGTGCCAGGGTGTTTTGTGCCTTAATACAGTTGTACCAAGTTGTACTTAGTTTGGTGGGGCCTAGCCTAGGAGGGACTTAACCAACTGGAATTTCTTGGGTACTCAGACTTGTCTGTTTTTGTGTTCTGGCATAACCTATACAGCTGTGACTCTTGCTTAGTATCTGACAGCCATTTAAAACTTGACTAGAGAGAGCCAGGATAGTAAGGTGGGTAGGGTGATTACCTTGCACGTAGCCAACTTGGGGTGGATCCTCCTCTCTGATGTGGCCCCACACGCTCAGCTGGAGTGATCAGTAAGTGTTGAGCCTGGAGGTGCCTCTTGAACACCACCAGTGTGACCCAAAGACTTAAAACAAGACAAAACCCTGGAATGTGTGGTACCAGTGCCAGGGATCAAACCTGTGCCTTCTGCTGATTGAGCTATCTCTCCTGATTCTCTCTTTTTTTTTTAATGTAAGAATAGATTTTATTTGGAGATCTAGGAAGGGGAAAGAGGGAAAGAAAGTGAGAGAGTAACATGCTCGAAAGAGAACACGGGCTTCTCCAAAGGCAGAGAGGTCCCTTACACACACCCCAACATTAGATATGGAAGCATGAAAGTTCACGTCTCAAGAGGGAAGATGTAGACGACACATGGGCTCAGGCAGCATATGCACACCCTCCCTTTGTTCAAGGTGGCTTTCATAGGGTTTTTCCAAGCTGCTCCAAATGGGACTTTGGATAGGTAAGAGTCCTTTGTCTTCAAAGGGGTAGAGTTGGAAGTGGTCGTCTTTCATACTCCTTTTCTTGTCTTTTGTTCTTGCTGGATCTTCTCTTGGAGGGTGGGTCCAGCCTTCTCTGGTCTGGGCTAGCTTTCACCTGGAGTTCCATCCCCAGTATTACATATGGTCCTCAGCTCACCAGGAGTGATTCTGATATCTATGGGCTGCACTGTAGGGGAAGAACCCAGGCTTTATCTCGTGATTCTTTGAAAATTATCAGCAATTTTTGCATAGCACCAGAGGGATGGTATTGTGAGGTATGTTTGCCTTGCATGTGGCCAACTCAGGTTCAATCTCCAGCACTCATTTGGTCCCCAAGCCTACCAGGAGTGATCCTGAGCACTTCTGAGTCTTGGGGCATCCTTTCCATTTTTTTAAATGTATTTTTTGGTTTTGGGGTCACATCTGGCGGTGCCTGGACCAGATGAGGTGCCAGGGATCGAACCCAGGTCAGCCACATACAAGGCAAATGTAGTAACTGCTGTATTATCACTCCGGGCCCGCCCTCCCTTTTTTTAAATCTGGTTTATTCACTGTGCTTGTAATTTTTGTTAAATGTCTGGGAAACTCAGTCCTCCACTGATTACTGAGGGGAGGCTCTCAGAAAGTGTTTGCATAAAAAGCAAAATGGCTTCAGATACAGCAGGTTTGGTCAGTTGTATAGAAGCGTACAGGGAAAATTGTGTCCAAGGGGTCTGGGCCCCAGTAAGAATATGGTAGGATAGGTTCTGCCTCATTAGAAAGTCTGAAGTGCTATGTGTGGTGCTCATCTTCCAACAGGTGTGGTGGCTGGAGGTGGTCGTATTGACAAGCCCATACTGAAGGCCGGACGTGCCTACCATAAATATAAGGCAAAGAGAAATTGTTGGCCCCGTGTGCGGGGTGTTGCCATGAACGTAAGTAGCCCAGAAGTGGGTGGTATGTTTGTGTGTGGGACCGTGATACTGGGCATGACTTGCTGAAACTTGTGTCTACCCTCAGTAAGGGCTTCTGCAGCAGAAAGCTGTGGGTGATGGGACAAGACAGGCCCCAAACATTGAGGTTCCCTATTAGCCATGTATTAACTCCATTCTTCTTGCATTCTTCTTGCAGCCCGTGGAACATCCCTTCGGAGGTGGTAACCACCAGCATATTGGCAAACCCTCTACCATCCGCAGAGATGCTCCTGCTGGTCGCAAAGTGGGTCTCATTGCTGCCCGCCGCACTGGGCGTCTCCGGGGAACAAAAACTGTCCAGGAGAAAGAGAACTAGTGACTGGTGACTATATAAATAAAGTTTGCTACTACAAAGTTGTCCTTTGTGTATGGTGTCAGAAAGGTTGCTGCTGGGATTGGGGGGGGAGGCTGGTCAAGTAGAACAAGAAGTAAAAGTGGAAAAGCTGTGGCTGGAGCTATAGTACAGTGGGTAGGGCATTTGCCTTTCACACAGCCAGCCCAGGTTTAATCCCCTGCATCCTGTATGGTCCCTGGGGTATCGCCTGGGTGTGACCCCAAAAGACCCACCCACCCCACCCCCCCTTAGGAAATAGGAAGAGGTCTGGTGTTTTATACCTTGACTCTTGGAATGTTGAGCAGAAAAGCCAGAATGAAAACTATATTGCTTGTGTGGGCCATACCTGGTGCTCAGGGCTCCCAAGGTTGGGGGTGGGGACTCCAGCAACGATAATGGGTGCTGAGAGAATCCAAGGTGGCTGTGTGTGAGGAAATCACCCTACCTGTATCTTCTGGCCCCTTGTATTTCTGCAGGAGAGTGAATACTGTTAGGTGAATGAATGCTTGTGAAGCTGCCACAGATTGTGGAGAACTGATGATTATAATGGAGAAGTAATTTCTTAACAAATGGTACCCACATCCAAACAACTTTGTCCCAAACAGGGCTAGTCAGAACTGGCAGAACTAGGGTAGATGCCACAGAATCGAAAGTGGAGCCCTGCTTTAGGAAGTTAGAGCTCAGGCCACCTAGAACCCTCTGCTATGGTTTGTAGGAGCTGCAGAGTACTTAGGCAGGATGGACTGTG